TTCTGCAAATCAGATCCGAACATGTAACTTTTATCTACCTACAGAAGAATCTTTGTTTAGAGCCATGGTTGCTATGCTCAAATTTAGTAAGTTTTCACAGAATTCTGCAGAACAAGTAAATTTAGTTATAGCTAGGAAAAAGGACAACATCTATAAACATATTAGGAGACCAGCAGAAGGGTTTGTATGCATAAACCCTTGCTTGCTTTTTAACAATTATTTCCATTGATCTATTAAAACATATTGCTTCTCCCTACCAGCCTTGCCTCAAAACTTATATTCCATGTATTTCAAAGCCAGAACAGACTGTCAGGACTGATCACCACTGCTGTACTTGCCAGGGGACGTTACCTGGTTATCCTTACAATAAGACTATGCCATTTTTGAGTTTCCAGTGGCTTATATAAAGAAGTAAACTTACAAAAATACATGTTCTCTGACTTTAGCTGAGCTTATAACTTTGCCTTTGGCATTGCAGCTGCTGTACTCGATTGGTTTTCTCTGGTTCCCTGTACAAGGGAAAATTCCTCACTGTTTTAGAGTGAGTCTCAATCACAGATCTTAAACTCCTGGATTCAGGCTATGATTGGTGAATTTCAGCTCTCAACAAGGGAGAAAGGCACCTTTCTCACTTCTGATGGTATGAAAGAAAACTTGAAAACCTAAAGACTCAAGGACCAGAAGAAAAACCAACCAGAAACCAACCTTATTAAGTTCCACAATTTCTAGACCAGTTTCACATTTGGAAGCCTTGAGTCATGATTTCAAAGTGTCCAGCTGCTGCAGTCTTAAGTGTTCGACAGACCATCCCTGCAGAACACCACAGCATGCTCCTAATAAATGAAGCAAGGCAGAGCAGGGGTCATGAGGAGGGTGGCACTACCTGACAGAACATGGCACCTGGCATTCTTCGGCTTTCTCTGTTTCTCAAAGACATCCCAGATTTCTCCCTAAAAGCGTGCTTCCTTTACTGACAGTGCTCTGCAGCTCCTGCCTGCAGGAATATACCAGAGATTTTGGCACTACTGCTGTGAAATCTTGAAGCGTTATTTTATGAGGAGCCTTTCCCCCTCCTGCACTGATGGGAAGAACACAAGGCAAAGTCAAACAAAGCTCTTATTCATTGCCTCAGCAATCTAAGTCACACCCCCCCCATGCCTACGCATGCATACACAGACACACTTCAGCAAGAGCCTTGTGCGTACTCAAGCAAGCACAGCCCCAGGCAATGAAAGGAGAAAGGGCCCTCATAATTGTCATTTATCAATATTCATAAAGAACCCGCCTTAACCCCTCTCGTGCATGCTCGGTAAAAAAAACACAAAATGAAACCCAACCAAAATAAAAATAAAATGAAATAATCATCTTGCTGTTCATTACCGCAGGGGATTTCCTCTCAATGTCACCACTGCCCTGTGCAGTAATTGGCATTATCTGTTATCTCTGAAGCCATAATAAGGTTTGCCACGGGGCATTTTCTGTAATCATATTTTTATTTGTCAGCTTGTGAGATACCGACACCAAATATGAGCTTGACCAAAGCAAAAACCCAACACACACAAAATACGCAGGCCGCCAATCCCAGCTCTTGCCGGTGATGTCACACGCAGCCAATGAGGCACCCGCCAGCTCTCCTCGCCCAGCTCCCACCCTCTGTTGGCGATGCAGCATTCCCTCACTGGAGATAAAAAAGACACTTCCTGAGGAAAGCAAGGATTTGTGACCTACCCTGATACGTGCTCCTGCGCTGCTTCTGACAGAAGATATAGTCGGCACTGAATTAGCTGAGAGCTCTGCCACAGTATGGAGGCAGGATATTCAAAAGGGACTATTGATTTGGGGCACCCAGCTGACACATCTGAAAGGCCCTGAATTTCGGAGAGCAGACACCCACCATTAGGTGAATGGCAGCTTAGGAGAAAAACATCAGTTATGTCCAAAGAAAACTTCCTAGGCTAGGATAGTCTTACACTGAAGTCCAAGGAACCCCAGGTTCCTCTGCCATTTCTTGCACCACTGCTGAGCGTGTCTGCTCTGGGCACTGCAGCATGGTGCAGAGCCCTCAGAGCTAGCACAGAGGAAGAGCTAGAAGCAGAAGCAAGAATGCTGCATCACTGAGCTAACTGCTCAGCTTGCCAGCTCAGGCAAAGCAGCAGGGTAACACAGATACACTGTTTGCAGCATCCCACGTAATGCCACTGCATGGTGCTGTCTGTCTGCACCCACGGTTGCCTGTGGGTCCCTAGCACAGCACAGCGCTATGTACACAGAAAAGTCCGTAGAGAACCCTACAGTGGGTTACCTATAAGCTTTCCCCCATGGCCAACCTGTACCAAAAAAACCCCATAAGTGACTGCACCTCAGAATGAGGTACATCAAATATTCCCCTGCTGTTCCCATTAAATAAAATAGGAACAGAAAGCTCCTACTTTTTTAAAACAACACACACACAGACTCAAGCTCCAAGCCTACTCTGCTTCCTTGTCTGAGCTGCTTGTTTGAAAACACCTCTCAGACACAGGCAATCTCTCCACACAGTAGCAGTAGAAGCCTTTTACTGACAGGAGGATTGGGGAATCCTTTCTGATTCTTTGATCCAGGAATCCTGCTGCATCAATACATTTTGAGCAGTGAAAGCTGAATGTGGTTACGTACTGCTGTGAAAGTAAGCCACAGATATTTCACAGTGTTTTGGGAAGTACAGACAGAAGATGGGACAATGATACGGGGCTGGGGATACCAGGCTATCAATCTATTCTGCCGGTAAGTTAGAGGCACCCACATTTAGTCATTAAACAAAGCAGAAGCCTTCATTTTTCAACATGGTCATAACTGGATAACCTGGCTGATGAGATGATTTGTCATTTCACTGCCCCACAACAGGACAAGGTCAGGCTTCATTGCTTAGGAAAGCACATTAACTTTTATACTCACACACACGCACACACGTACATATATGCATGCTCTGATTTTCAAAAAGGGTTTAATGATAAGCATTCAGAATACAACACAGAGTCTAATATAACACAGACCACACAAGTCTCAGAGTGACCTGGAGAGAGGGAGAGCTTATGATTTACTGCTAACTAACTCGGCACTAGATGCTAGTCGAGTGGGAGTTGGCAAGGAGACAGGGGATTTACTTCTAAAGAAGACTACTGCCCACAATCCAGTACGTTTAACAGAAAAAAATGGATTCCTCAAGAGAGACATGCACTCTGCCTTGGAAATTCCACATTTTGTTAAACCTGCAGAGGTTCTTGTCTGTCTGACAGCCTCATCAAAATCCTCACTTAGTTTATTAAAGTCTGCCATATCAAGAGATATCCATCACAAGCCCAAAGGACTAGTATGTATGTGTATATATGCATGCTTTCATGGAAACTTCTATCCCAACAGAGATTCATATTTCTCTGGAATATCCATTTGGAAGAGTAATTAATTTATCTTCGGCTGTACTTAAACATTTTTTAATCTTTTTGGATTGGGTGTCTAAGTGTTAAGCCAAGTAGGGAACAGAAACATGTATGTATGCAATCCACCAATGGTTACACTGCCCAGTGTACATAAAAAATGACAGCTGTACAACCTACCACGGATTATGCTAATTATAAGAAGGTCATGATCACTCAATCCAGTTGATTAGCAGGGAGGAAAAATTGTGGAATTCTCAGAATAAAACTTGTCAGAGGTCTCTGCCAACAGAGAAAACTTAGATCCTCTAGTTAGGGCATGCAACCTGTTCTTGGCTCCTATGGGAATTTCTCTGACTATTGTAACCCTGCCTGGGCCAGGTAGGCCTTGTCCTCAGGACCTTCTCACCCAGATCCACCACCTCTGAACTGCCTCTTCTGCTTCTTAATATATCCTCAAGAAAGGCTCTTATTTCCCTTTCCATTTGTTAGAAATATGCTCTCTTTCAGATTAATATTCCATGTTGAAATGAGTCAGAGATGTACAGGGAGGGGGCTAGAAGAGCAAGCTAAATATTTAGGCATCTGTTTTTGCTGTGGCTATTTATGCTGTGGACATCTGGTTCGCGAGTTCTCAGCACAAAACTGGGGGTACAGAAAATCACTGTACAGTTACTGAGAAGTAACTACACAATGTTAGTGCAAATCCAACCACTGAAGTATCTATCAGTGGCCCTTGGCCTCCTGGAGGGGGGGATCTACGGCTGTCTGTGGCTATGGAGAAGCTGCCATGCAGACATAACATAAATGGTCTCTCCCAGCCAATCTAAGTGCGAGGAGCTGGATTTCTGAGAAATAAGCAGGCAGTTATGGGTCAGCAGCTATACAGAAACTCTGTGCTCAGACTGATTATAACAACTTGATTTCAGTAGAATTTAAATTACTTAAATTTGCTGAAGATGAAGGAGAAACTGGTCCAATTTAAAACACCACCTGAAAGCACAGGTTAAACCCCACTTGATGGTTAAATCATATAATGGAGTTAGTGAGTATCAACAGCAGTCAGATCAAGGAAATTCTTCCCTACTGGAAGGGAAATTAAAGGCAACAGTGACTCAAATGCCCAGAAGGGACTCAGTGAAGGCTGCCAAAAGCCAGCAGGTTTCCAAAAACTTAAGGAGGCCATAAACTGACTTTGCTGTATTAGTACTTGTCCCAAGTTTCTTCAGGGATACATTTTGATACAGTGTATGTAATTCTCAGTTATTAGCAAGTGCCCCAAGAATGATGGAAACTAAACTGCTTTTCCTTGGTGGTTTTGGTTTTCCTGGTTAAAGCATTCCCTGTGAGTGACTTCTCCTCCAGTGAGAAATGATGGACAATCTTCTCCATGAAAAGTCTATCTGTGACCGGTGCACTCGCCCACAGACAGCCAAGAATTAAAAATTACATCAGCACTTTACCCAATGCTTTTAGAGCTTTACAACTTCAGTTACTTAATAGTAACTAATGGTATCAAGAAATAAGATCCCTTTATTCTGTGCTTTTATATAACAGGTAACTCCTGTTGGAAATGGCTGTACTCACCATATTGAATGACTATGGCAGAAGTCTAAAGCAGAGATGATTTGTCGGAAGAACTTCCTGGCTTCTTTTGGTGTCAATCTTCCCTTTTTTACGAGATAGTCGAAGAGCTCCCCACCTGACACATGTTCTAGCACCAAATACCTAGAAAATAACAAAGCCAGGAATTTATAAGCACATTATCACACCAACCCCCTCACACTCACACAGTTACATACAAATACGTCTACAGACGGTCAAGGAGAACACTTCTGGAAAGAACAGTGGCAGAGAATCAGAATTTTAAAATCAGGAGTGATCAATATTTTTAACAGGGGCTCTGCAAACTTCAGACATGCCACTGTTGGATTCAGCGTTCAATATAATAGTGAGAGATAATCCAGAAGCCAAAAACGACTCAAAAGACCCGGAGGGGAACAAGAGAATAATCAGGTATAAGCTTTCACAGCAGCTCTTAAAGCTACGGTGGAGTAAGACTGCGTCCTAGGAAGCCTCAGATCCCTTAACCAAGGTGACAGTTCCTTTATAAAACAGCTGTGGCAAAGCTGCACTCACATACTGTCCTGTCTTGGACACTTGAGAACTAGACAGATGTCAACAAACTAGAGGGAACTAAAAAAAAAGAAAGGTGAATAGTTTAAATTATGGAAAAAGATGAAGAGAATTACATGTGCACAACCTACGTACGGGCTTCAGCTTTTGCTGCTGAACAGCAGTGATTTGCTGGAGTAGCTGCCCTCCCTTGCAACTCAAACATGAAAAATGGGACACTGAGTGAATAAATGCAGCACAACAGGGACCTAGGAGCAAGAGAGGAAACCCCAGACCTCACATAGCACTCCTGGCAGTCATAGAGAGAAGAGTGAAATCTCCTGGAAGGAAAGGACTTGCCACGGATAGACCGCCTTGTTGTTGTAAGTAGGGGTAATGAAAGGCAGCCAAGCAGAGGAAAACTTAGTATAAATCTCTGGAAATGTTGCCTAATAGTGGGAATGAAATAGTTTCCCCAGGGAAGTGGCAGGAACACCATCAACTGAACCATTTAAAAATAAACCAGATTTAATATGGACTAAGCAATAGACTTCTATTGGCAAGAGGATTACTTGAAACCTCTGTGGACTTTTTCCACCTCCATTGTGATTTTGTGCTCTACTGTCTCCTTACTTGTTTGCCCAGCATATACTATTCTAATACAGAATGAAGAAATTATGCAGTGAGATTATTTATTCAGAATCTGAAATGACAAGTATAAACACAAATTATTATTATTCTTACTGAAAAATCACTTTTGTTCTTTGACTCTGTTAGCTGGTTTACAGAAACCTGTACCCCTCTCCTACTGCCTAACTCCTTTGAAGTGAGTTTCAGCGTTGCATGGCAAGGCACGTGATCTGAAAGTGGTTTCTGTAAAGCAACAATGCAAGGGTGAACAGTGCATTCAAACCAGTGGCAGTTTGTTTGAGAGACATTACCAAAGAACTTGCAAACAAGAATTAAGTATTGTTCCAAATTTTGAGTGTACTTCTGTCCCTTCCTCCCAACAACACAGCAAACCAGGCTGAACTGTGTGTGCAATACGATCCCTCTCTCTCCATGCTTTGGTTTACAGCAAGCTAGTTTTATTACCAGTATTAATCCAACTCTTCAAATTTGAGTGGACACTGAAAATAATTAATCCAGCATACTGTCTTTTCTGTACCTCAAGCAGCATAATCTCAGAGGAAATTTCTAAATATGAAATGGAAAAAGGAGAAGATTATTATAAATCTGGGGGCTTAATTATTCCTGTTTTCAGTGTTTCCAAAAAGATGGAACAATAGAAGGACTAAAAGTTGTTCTGAGGAAAGTAAAATTGGCTTAATGATAATGGCATTAGCCTTGAAGTTGCAGAAGTGGGACCTGAGCTCCTGGTCCATCATCAGCTCCCGTGTGACTTCCATGTGTCAGCTCCCAGCCAGCAAAAGGAGAAAGCATTTTCCTGCCTCACAGAAATGCAGCAGAGAATGTAGTAAGAGACAGACATTGATATTGTCTTGCCAGCTAAGTAAGTAGTACAAAAGCACAAAAAAGAGGACAACAAAATGAAATCACAAACTTTAGGGAATTAAAATGGCATTTTCTGCAATTTTTATCAAAATAGAAACAGTTACAAGAAATATGGTAATATTGACCTTTTTCCATTAAAGTAAGTAAAAAAAAGAGAAAAATCTTCATGTGAAAATCACATTTGGAATATGTGGGTTATATTCTCTCCAAGATGAGATGACTAGTTACCAGACTGTCTACTGAGTACACTTCAGTAATTTGGAGATCATCGTTTATCTGCATTACATTTTTTGAGCAAGACATTCAACCGCTCAGAAGACAGTTGATATGCAGTAGCCATGGGCAATGGGGTGTCCACATTTTCAAGTCCCAATCCTTGTTTTCCAAGCCTTGGCTAACAGACACTCTGGTAAGAGGGTTTGCTATATAATTCATTCTCCCTCTCATACTAGAGACAGATCTGGCTAACTATCCCATATGGCAAAGCCAAGCATGGCACAGAATCAATCCTAAAATTCTCCTTGACAGCTCCCTCTCACTGTGCCCAGAAGAAGCTGGATACAGCAGTGCATCTTGCCCCCAAAATTCAAACTGCTAGCTGCTTTCTTTTTCTGGGAGGTATTTTATGAAGATGATTGCAGTTACAGGCATACAGAACACCCTCCACACCGGTTTCAAATGCACAGTTTTGGAAAATTACAGACCCAGCATTTCTGTCACCCACAGCAGGAACTGCAAAGCAATTTATTTTCATCAACTTCATCTTATTAAAAACACTCAACAAAAATGCACTGACACGTTGTATGAAAAATAATACAAATTGAAAGACAGGGAGCATTTACAAGGTTATTCATTTTTGCTTGCCACATAGAAGCACTAGATATAATAATGGAAATGAACAGGGGAGAACATTTGAAAAAGATTTGTGCCTATGACAAGTCAAGGGACACAGAGAAGCACAGCGACGATGTATTCTGATCTGACAAAGCCCCCAGTGTGACAGGAGTGAGAAGGACGACAAACACATTTCCCCATGGTCAAGTGCAAGAAATAAATGCTGCAGGGATCATTCCACAAGTACTAGGTGGTTATGTTGCAGCTAGGATTTCTGAGTTCGGATTTGCAGCTGGTCACCCGCCAACCCTATTCCCTCCAGTATGATGCGGGTTTTTTTTAGGATAGCCCCCAACTAGGAGATTTTTGATTAAACAAGGGCATAATTCAGCACCTGCCTCCATCTCTGTGCAAGCCAATGTTTTGCTTGCACATTACATGGCACAGTAGCAGTACATGCTATTTCCAAACAGGCCAACAAGAGGGGTTTAGACATTTCCAAATGTTGTACTGGTTCTAACTATCTCTGTAGAGTTTACACAATCCTTACTAAATACTGTGTATCTGTGTCCATCCATCTATCTGTGTATGTGTGAGTGTGTCTGAGTGACTCCATAAAAGAAGAGAATACACACTCTGAAAAGACAAACAGAAAAAAGCGAAGGAAAGAGCAAGCACTATTTCAGAGTCTGGAAAATAAGGCATACAGACACTACACCTTTCCTGAATCTGTGGCATGGAACAGAATCCAGATCTCCTGAGTCCACATCAGCACCTAAAATCCTTTACTTTAGCAAAGTGCTATAGGATTGGAAGTATGCCAATGCCAACTCTTGGAGGATCTAGGAGAAGGTAAATAACACATAGCCTGTAGGGGAGAAAAAACACTAAGAAGTATTTGCCTGAGTTTCCCCTTCCCTTTTATCTCTTCCAGATATGACAGGTTCTCATCTCACTACAGTACTACTTTTCCCATTTATTCTAAGCAAGTGAGCGAATTATAAAAATCCCAGGACAGTAACCAGAACTAGTCTCCTGTTACATCTGGAGATGAAAGTACCTTACTGGTGAATGAAGCTTTTTTTTTAAATCCTGTCTGCGTAAGATTGACAGTATCAGTCTTCCCCCTGTAAAAATGTAGGTAACCCCGCTCTGTAAATAGCCATTGCAAGGAGGTTCAAGGAAAGACCCAGCCTCTGGCTGGCAGCATGCACACTACCTGCTGTGATAATACAGAGAAGAGCTATTTTAGGACAAAAGACTCTGTAAGAGCACTTAGCTCTCACATCTTGGATGCTCTTGACACACACCACCTCTTCTAATCCTTGCATTTCACATGAGAGAAGCATTACAAGTATTAACCTCCTGTTCTTTACTGATAAGGAACTGTGAAGCAAAGTGACTTGCCCAGGGTTATAGTCACCCAGTATCAGAGCTGGGATTAGGACCTGTGGTCCCTTGTGCTTTCTATTGAATGCTGTCCCCACCACCAATTCCCCTTCTGCTTGCCAGGACACTGGAAAAGCAAGAAAAAAACAGGCTTCTGCAACTCAATATGAAGCCAAATGTACAAGTGTTAAAAATAAATTCTCGATTACTTGTTTTCTTCACTAGATATATTCTTTAAGAGGCTGCAAAAATTTTCACGGGCCACAGCTTGCTTGTATAAAGACACCAAGGTCCACATCTTGCATATCTCATGTCCCTGCTACAAGCCAAGACTTGAAACTAAAAATCTCTGGTTAAGTTTCAGAGCCTGAAGGAGGCAAGACTTTGGTCTTTAAAAACAAAGAAGCCAACCGTGTAATACAAGAATAATTTCGCTTATTGGAGAGAAGCAGAGATTGCATGCAGCAGCATTCTATCTATTCCCTTTGCCATTTTTCCATCTGCATCCCATCATCACCACCTCCCCAATAAAAGCTATTAAGTTCCTAACCTCGAATAACCAACTACATATCATATCAGAGAGGTGCATGCAGCTTATAAAAGCTTAGAATAATCCTAGGCTCTTTTCTTCCTTTCTTTTTGGTTCATTTTATTCACTCTTTCAGGAACCAAAACAGTAAAGAAGTAATAATGAAAACTAAACAATATAGCAAAGGAGGGGTGATTTCTGCATGTGAAAGAGATGGAGTAGCCAAGATGAATGTGGACAAATGTGGTCTTAAACTACTCCCTAACATGGTTTAGTGGGCATGGATGATGGTTGGACTCGATGATCTTGAAGGTCTTTTCCAACCTAAATGATTCTATGATTCCAT